CAGCAGCAGAGGCTTTTTAAAGCCCAGAAGCACTGAAACACGGCGTTCGTGGCTCGAAGCTGGCTGTGCATCGCTGGGGCTTCGCTCTGATTTGGGGTGTGTAAGGAGGGCACAAACCCTGCTGCCTCCACCCACCGCTCCCGCATCCCTGCAGCACCAGCGGGTTTTTTGAACCCCCTTGCTGTTTTCCATAACAAAAAAAAGGGCTGTGAGAAACCAAATCTGCTCTCGGCACACGCTGCATTGCGTTGCTCGGTTTCTGTGGCTTTTCTCCTTTTTCCCTGCCTATCAGTGCCGTGCATATGGATGGGATGCAGGCGAGCCGAGCATCACCCTGGGGCCAGGTTTGGGTTTTGTCTCTCCAGATCCTGCTCAGGGCATGCAGGAGCACAGTGCCAGCAATGGGTTGCTGTCCCAGCCCTGTGTCTGTATTTCTGGGGGGTGAGTGTGAGCCTGGCACCCCTACTCTATTAGCTCTGGGAGCAGCCCTTATTCCCAGCCACCTTTTTCCTTTTCCCATGCCAACTGCTTTCTCTGGGCAGCAAAACAGAAAAAAAACCAAAAACAAACCCACAAGAGAGTTTACAAAATATTTTAAAATTTCTTTTCTTTTCTTTTCTTTTCTTTTCTTTTCTTTTCTTTTCTTTTCTCTTCTCTTCTCTTCTCTTCTCTTCTCTTCTCTTCTCTTCTCTTCTCTTTCTTTTTTTGCAGGGCAGATCTATGCTCTCCCTTAACACCATACAAGTTTTTAGTATTTGCAGCTCACTTCCTGTATGAGGTTAGTTTGTTTATCATAAAAACCTATTTTTAAACCCATTTCTGCCAATAAGTAATTTGAATGCTGATGCTCACTCGTTGCGTTCCCCGGCTGGCAGCGGGGCTCGGCGGCCACCTCACTCCCTGTCAGCACGGCAGTGGCACTCAGTAGCTTTTATTGAGGGACGCACCCAAGGAGATGCCCTGAGCACATCTATTAGAGCCAGCACCGTGTTCGCACGTTCAGATGAGGGCCTGCTCCCACATCTGATCTCTAAAACTGGTTTTAGTGAGATTGGGGCAGCAGAGTTCCACTTGAGCTTCCCTGCATTCAACACACAGATTTAAGCCATCTTTTCTGAGCAACTGTGGATGTTGGGTGCACCCCTGTGCCGCCGAGACCACTCTCCATCACCTTCAGGCACCATCAGCAGTCCACCACCTGAATCCCAAGGTCAGGGCTAGACCCAGCATTAACAACTGAGCTTAGGAACCCATCTTTCGTTTGGGAGGCATAAGGTTGTGTCCCTCTGCTCACATTTTTGCAGCCGTCTCCTGGCCGCGATGCCGCGACGCAGCCCCATGACCCAGCGCTGGGCTGGGAGTCCCAAGGGAGCAGGGAGGATGCGTGCTGCCAGCTTCTGTCTTATGGAAAAAAAAAGCAAAGAAATCCAACCCTTTATTTTCACCTTTCTCCGGGCTGAGCCCAGCGCCAACACAGATGTGCAAAGCGGAGCCAATTAGAGCGGCATCGGCAGCGCCGGTGCACGGCTGGGGAGGTGGCATTTTGCTGCCTGCCATGTCCTGCCCCCCTTCGGGAGCTGACATAGCATCACCTTCAAACATTTTCTCCCTAATTAAACCGATGCCTTTGTCAAAAAGTTTCCATTCGGTGTGTGATGTCAGGAATCACACCGAGAGAAAGCGTGGTTTAATTAGCGGCAGCCCACGCGGCCGGGCAGCAAAGGCTCCCCCGTGCACTCCCGACAACATTAAAATATGAGCCCATCAAAATACCAGGCAGGAGAAACTCCCATCCTATTCCTTCAGTGCTGGTGGGATTTGTGTGTCCTTGGGCTGAAGCTGCTAAGAAATTTTGGCTCAGGACAGTGCTGCTGGGGAAAGCAGAGGAGCGTGAGCTAGGCGGCTTTCATGCTGGCACTGGGACTCTCAGGAGGCCAGCAGTAGAAGGAAATTGGTTTTGTCACACCATACAGATGCAGCCAGTCCCACCACATCCGTGCAGATCCAGGACCTGTTGGGAAAGTGCTGGGGAAGGTTGGGAAATCCTGCCCAGTGGCCAGGGCTCCAGGATGCCCGTCTGTGGCGAAGTCAGAGTGCCCAGGGCTCAAGCATCCTAGAACCCATCAGAAATGTCAGAAAACCCACTGGAAACGGTGACCTTTGTTGCAATATGAAAATCAGATGCAAAGCTTGGTGGGTATTTTTAGCTGTTTTAGGCTGAACAGGTGTTTGAAAGGTCAGATGCGAGTCATTGGAAAAAAATATAGTGAGGGTATGGCAGGATGGCTGTGCCGCTCCCCTGGTGTTCGATGGCCCTAAACGCTTTCATCCTCATTTCTGGGGCATGGAGCTTGGGCCTCGCTTTGTATTTGTTCTATGGCACCCCAAGGATGCTCAGCGCTGTACCTCCCACCTGCATGCACTGTCTTTGGAATGAGACTTTTGGCTTTATCGGCTAATATATTTGAAAAAAAGAAGAAAATTCATCCCAGGTAGAAATCCAGCACAAATCCAGCCATAATGAAACTGACTCTCAGAGTTCCTTATTAACACAGAGCAGCTTGATGCTGTAGTGTGAGGGTGCGGACAGGAGGAGCCCCTCATCTGCCCATCAATAGGGTGGTGTTGGGTTGTTGTTCTCCACATCACCACCTCCCACAAGGTTTAGAAGGGCTCCCTTCCACATAGCAAGGCCCACTGTTATCCTCGGGGCTGTCATTGTTGGATTTCAGTTGTCCCACATCAACAAGACTAGGTATGCTGTGAGTAGGTTCAGCTGAAAGAGGTTAAGAGCAGATCCACATGTGGCCATGAGCCATGCACGTGGCTTTTCACATGATCAAACTGTTGGGTGTTTGGTTTTTTTTTGTTTTTGTTTTTTTTTTTCCTTTTCAAGGAATAAAGGAAGTTTGTCATCATTCAAACAAACAGAAAATGGATGGTGGTTTTAATTTGTCACTAAAGCAAGATTTTGAGACCACAGGAAGAAAGAGCCAGTCTTTTGGAGTGGGACCAGACGACACGTCCTTGGTGGACTGGGAAATGGTCAACCTGGGCTATGGCCAGCTGGGACTGCTTGGGTCCAACCCAGGCCGTGGCCACCATGGCAAGCCAGGATGGGGCCGTGGCCAATATGGGCTGAGACTGCCATGGGCCTGGCCATAGCCTACTGAGATGTGGCCACAGCCTTCCTGGGCCAGGCTGGTGGCCACGGGCAGAAACCAGCTGGGACTCTCATCACTGTGGGATGCCACCAGGGAGCATTTCTCTTCCCTGCTGTCTCACCGAGGTCGTGGGGTTCAGGGCTGAGCTCCTTCCAAAATGAGTCACAGCAAAGAAAAGAGGGAGAACCATCAGCAAACAACCTGCCTGCACAGGTCACTCTGGCTTGGCCCTGTCTCCAGCTCATGGCCAAAGGCCCTGTTAGTTAGCTTGCAAAACTTGTGGGATTTTCCCCAAAATGAGAGGTGATATGTTGACCCCAGAGGGGTCAGGGCTGTCCCCAAAATCCTCCCCTAACATCCCAGTCCCACCATACTCCTGAATGGGACCAAAAATCCCCAGGCTGATGGTACGGCCTTGGCTGGGCAATACGGGCATTGTTGAGTTAAAGCAGCCCCTAAAATAGCACCTGAAACCTATAAACTTCCCTTTCAAGAACTTCTGTAATTTGAAACAAGCACAAGAAAAGAAAAACAATCCAGAAATTTTGTTGTTTGTCAAAGTCGGGGTGGGCTTCTGGTTTTCTTTAATATATTTCAGCAGGAGCCTCTCACAGGGGAGGGGTTCCTGGGCACATTTCTCTCTGATTTGTTTCTTCCCCACTTTCTTCCTTCCTTTCAGCTGTCAGCATCACAGTTCTGAGCCAAAGCATCCCAGCAGTGTGCACTGAGCAGCAGGGAACTGTGGTGGTTAAAGACAGCCGCCCAAGAGCCCAGTGGGATTGTGAGGAGAGGTTGGAGGTCTTTTTTATTATTGTTATTTCTTGTCGTCCTTCTGTCATGATCTTTTTATAAAGTGAAATGCACTTACAGGTTTTTGGAGAGTTGAAAAGAGGAGGAAGATGAAGGGGAACAGCAATATCTTGGAGACGATGGGTTGGCGGTTGGTGTGGATCATGGTAGTGGTCTCTCCAACCTTATTATTCTATGATATTCAAAAGTAAGTCCTCCTCGACTCTGAGCAGCTTAAAAACAAAACAAAACAAGGCACAAACAAACAGGGAAGTGCAGCTGCCTCTGCAGAAACAAGCCCTGCTCTCGCCTCACCACCATGACTCACGGCCGGGGCTAAATTCCCAGCAAGGGGAGGTGTGATAATCGTGAACGATTGGCTTGGGCTCTGCCTCAGGGAGCAAACAGCAAAGAGGTGTGCATAGACACATATCTGCGTGCTTGGCTTCTTGTTCCTGCCATCCCCTGCTGCTGGTCTCCATGAGCCCCACCATCACCTCGTGGCTGCTCCTTTTGTGCGGAGAGCCCCACACGAGCGAGCGCAGCAAAATAATTGTTCCAAACCACAGCTGATGCTATCAGTTATCTGCCAGCTATTATCTGTGGTGAAATAAAGGCAAAGTGAGCAATCGCTCGGGTAGATGGCTCAGGGCAAGGAGCCATCCCGTCCCCTTGTGCTCTTACACCATCACCAAGTCCAAAGGGGATGCGGCCACGAAACATTGGGGAGGGCTTAGAACTGAGGATAGAAAAGGGAGGGAGGGCCAAGGCAAGGGAAAGCAGGGCGGTGGTGTCAATGAGCAGATTGTGAGGATGAACTCAAAATAAGTAAAAACCCTCACAGAATTCTAGTAGCTTAAAGCCTAAACAACCCAGGAAAAGAAGAAAAATGAATTAAAAAAAGCAAGCCCTGTAAAACCCTACTGAATTAAACACAAGAACAGATCACTGCCTTGCTCTTCTTGCAGGCACCTGAAGTCACCAACAAACTCCTGGCAGAAGGTCGATCCAGAAGCCCCCAAAGAAAGCACCACTCGTGACAAGTAGTCAAATAGTTGAAGGTTTTATTCATATAAAACTCATATTAAGAACATAAAAGATTGCATCTTAAAAAAAAAAAAAAAAAAAAAAAAGATCTGCAATTATTTACAGCAGTATTGCACAAGTAAAGTGGCAATTACCCTGTCCAAAATTCATCAGTGCAAAACACAAGTAAGCCAGGGAAATTGCAATAAAAATGCTACATATGCTGGGTCCTATGAAAACGAGTTAGTGATTAATTGGGACATCAGTGTGCACTCCGGTTGTACCTGATGCTAAAGCTGGTCCTGGATCTTGGCTGAGACAGAAGAGAATGTGGTTTTAAAGAGGAGAGGACCAAAATCGTGGTGGAGAAGCCAAACTTCCCCTGAATTTCACTAATGCTGTCATCTCGGAGGTGCTTAAATCCCTATGGGTGTGCAGGACTTAGGCACTTCAAAGCAATCATCTCTGCGCTGCGTTGGCTGCGCTGGATCCAGCGGGCAGCGCTGGGAGGTCCATCACTCATATGGGAGGCCCATCCACACCACAGACCTGGGGCAGGAGGAGAGAGGGGCAGGCAGAACCTCGACAGGAATTTAAATAAGCAGGAAATAAATAGCCATCGTTTCTACAAGTTACAGCATGATGGAACAGTAGAGTGCATTGATTACACAAGGGCAGGGGGAAAAAAAAAATAAAGGGAGGGGGAGGATCTACAGTATTTACCAAGTTTAACTCTAAAAAAGTTTAGGGAAAAAAAAAAAAAAGGAAATTTTTTTTTTTTTTTTTTTTTTTGATTACTTATAAGCTGTACAAAACTTACATGAGAGAATGGAAAGAGAATACATTGCACGCAGATATTTGGCTCAGATGATGAAAATAATACGGTGTCCTATTCTAATAAATAGTCAGGTATTTACAGTGACCAACTGGGAGGCGTAACGCGTGGCGTGGGACCATCCAGCACAACGGGGGTTCTCTGCAACCACTGAACTTCATGGAATCGTTTTGGCAGAACAGAGAGCACTGGTGATGTGGGCTCAGAACGCCCCAAATCCATCGGTGAGCACTGCTGAAGCTGATTTAAAACCATCATTCTTCTTTTTCCGGACATTAAAAACAATAAAACCACCAAAATTAAACAATTCACACAACCCTACAGGGATGAAGCCTGGTTTTCTTTTTTGGAGCTACGTTTTCCTCTGTCTGCATTCTGGCTGGGAAAGCTGGATGTGGAGCAGCCCAAGCCAGATGGTGCCAATCCCTTGCGTTCTTCCCCTTTTTTTCTGCCCAGCATAGAGCCAGGAGGACAGGGCAAAGTGCTGGGTGCTGGCCACCCTTCTTTGGTGTGCTCCAAGGGACGCAGGACCAGAAAAGCTAAAATTGCTCCATTCTCCTTCCAACGAGTGCAATCAGGGGCAGGCAGCCCCACGCCAACGGGTCATCGCCTCCCAGCTGGTGCAAAGAGGTCAGACTGTACACAGCTCTTCTAACACAGGAACACTGATCTCCACACAGCGGCACGCAGGACAGTTTCTCCTGACGTGCATATTGCAATGCGGTAGGAAAAACCACTACCATAGGGCCGGGTTTGCTGCTGCTGCTGCTTCTTCTACGGTGCTGGTGAAACCACAACTAACTGCAGCATTTGGAAGGTGATTTTAGGACCATCCGCACCAGCTGGAGGAAAGGGGACAGTTCTGAAGGTGAGAGGAGTTACGTTTGTGCATAGAAACGCAGGCGGTCGAAGCAACGACGCGCCCCAAAAAGCACCGGCTGTGCAGAAGCCTCCCGTGCGAGATGAACCAGAGATGATGGCAGGGTCTCCGTTGGCTGGGACACCACACACCCATGTGGTGAGCTTCTAGAGCCACGTGGCAGGGTCTCCAGACGGGAGGGCATCGTCCTGGGACTTCAAACACCTGCTGAGGTCTTCCCAGGTGCAAGGAGGAGATGTGCCACAAGGAGAAGACCTGCCCAAGGCCAGCAGGGTGCAGACCCCACGCTCTGTGATGAGTCGTTACCATCTGAACAGCGTGCACAAGCAAGTCTGCGTCCTTCAGCACTGCACGGCCCCTCATTCAGCTGGATTCCATCACAGGAACCTTCAGGGTCTTCATCCCCTCGCTCCTCACCTGCAGACTTCTCCCATAGCCCTGGTCCAGTCCAAACAGAGGATCCCAGAAAACATCCAGTGTGCCAAAAACCCTCTTGGGTTTAACAGCAACACGCTAACCATGCCTTTAGAACAGTTCCTGGAGTCGCACAGCAGGAACCTGTCACTGGGTGCAAAACTGCAATGGTTTGGGAACTGTTTTAACCTGCCTCCAAGGACATCTTATTGCTGAATTACTCAGTCACCGATATTATATATTATAATATTATACAATACGTAAGCATTTTCACACGTCTTATAGAAAGAATTTCTAAAAAGGCAACCTGGTGGATTGTTTGTTTTTTTTTTTTGTTTGGTTGGTTGGTTGTGATATTTTGGACCCTGGGAATCTGACAGCTAAGTCTTGAAATTCAGAACTTAAAATAAAAGTTGGGAAGGAAAAAAAAACAAAAACAGTCAGCAGGAAATAGGAATATTTGCATGACGCAACCGAAGTTGGATTTGGGGTAGCATTAGGTATTTACACATAAAAGAAGTGCTGATTAAAATCTCTCCGCCCTTCTTCCATCCTCATCCTCTTTGGCAGGCAGGAGGAGGCGGCAGCGCAGCGGCCGGGGGGCGTCCAATGCTCCCTGCAACACCTGCAGCACAAATAAGGCAGCTCTGCAGATCAGCTGGATCTGGAGGGTCTTGGGACGCATCCAAGATGAGCCGACAGATTTCCAGAAACGATGACCGAACATCGTCACTGAGGACATTTCTCTGAGACAATTTAAAAAACAATAATTAAAAATGGAGAGAAACACAGTAAACACCACTCTCAGATAAAATCTAGCTTTGGAGCATCCCGGCAGGTCCACGTGGGAAATCCACCCTCCTCCGGCCACCGCACGCCCAGGCCAGGGGGGGCAGCTCGGAAGCTCCAAGCTCTGGCACTGGCTCTTCTCCACTGGATTTTGGAAGGAGCCATCGAGTCCCAGCAGCCCACACGGCCGGTGTCACTGCATCCTCCAGATGAGGCGGATGATGTAATGCAGGAGGCGCAGAATGACCACCTGGGGGTTTCCAGCGTGGTTATCCAAGAAACCCTAGGAGGAAAACAGGGGGCAGAAAGTAAGAAAGTGACTTGAATTCCCAGCTACCGTGAGTTGAACATCTCCTGCACGTGAGGAAGGAGAAGGTGGGCCTATGCAACTCTGAGCTTTCTCCCCATTGCTGCCACTACCAGGAAAGGTCTACGTTTACCTACTGAGCTGGCTTCAGGGGGTTCAGTACAGATGAGACAACAAAGTTCGCCCCAAGGGGTGGCCAAAATGCACTGATGCTTGTTATTTGTCACTGCCAAGGAGACGCAGAGGGAGAAAACACAGAAACAAAATGAAGGCAACTCAGCTCAATGACATCAAGCGCTTCCTTCAGTCCTGGGGAAGCCACTGCTGGCATCCCAACCAGCACCAAACCAAGACTGCTGCAAGATGACCAGTTCCCTGTCCCCAGCCTCAGGGACTGGCATTGTCCTCCACCACATTCATAATCTGGGCTCAATTCAAGTTCACTGAAGCCAACTCAAGATTTTTTCTGAGCAGAAGATGATCCAACACAAATAGGGCAAATACCCCAAGGAGGCTGAGCACACAGTTCTCAGCTCTTGCTAACACTGGAGACTGAGAGATTTCACAAACTGGAAATCATGCATTTTATGATTTTACCAAGAAAGTAAACCCAGCCTCCCTTCATGCTGAGTTTCAATAAGAAGCTTTATAGTCCTCAGTGGGCCAAAGCCGCCTGCTCCCAGCCACATCTGCCATGAAGGCTCAGAGAGGACATCACACTGACTCCCTCACCTGGGTGTGGGATGTGAGTAATGCTGCTTGAGACTGCAGTGTGGAAGCAAGCAGTAAGCCCTGCTAAGAGAAGCAGGGAGGTAATAATAATAATAATAATAATAATAATAATAATAATAATACAAAACCCAACTAGAAATGAAGACCTGCAGCAGGAAGAGCAGTGGTAGCGGAGACGGGTTCCTGCTGATGGTGGTAGTCATGGCTTCAGCTCTAATGGCTTTAGGAGCAACCACTGCAGCCGAGCACTCCTCCTTTGAGCACAGGACCAGTATTTCACAGCAACATTCAAAGAGAGTTTACTTTTGGGGTCCCTTTTCCCTCCCCCAAGCCCAACAGCAAAACAGAAGTGCCAGCACCACCACCTCTGGTTTCCCACGCTGTCAGAACATGGTGTGGTTCGGGCTATATTGAGTGCAGCAGAACCATGTCTGTACATGCCCTGCAGGGAGAAATCACGCTGCTTACACCGATTTGCAAACTCCTGTTGCAGGCACAGGGCACGCAGAGTGCACTGTCTCCAACAGAAGATGCTCAAACATCCCACAGCCAGGTGGAGAAGGGTGAGCAGCGCATTTTAGCTCACCATGCATCTGCTGTGCGTGGAGCTGGGCTTCGAGGCAGGAGAGCACGCCGGCTGCTCCCGCTTGCTCAACCTCTTTGTCAAGGTGGATCGATGCTGAATTACCTAATTCTCTGTTGTTTTTGCCCTGGGGAGCTTTTAAGGGCAGATAGAACACAGCCAGGCTGCTTTTGGGGAACCCTCCTGGCATCCCAGCCAGGTTCTTGTCCCGGGGCCCCCAGCTGGGCACGCTGGGGCAGAGGAGCAACGCCGACCCGTCCGACAGCCCTGACCTGTCTGGCAAGCACCGTTTTGGCACCGCTGAGTTCCCCATTTCCACCCGTGCTCAAAGGGCAAGCCCGAATGAACCTGCTGCGATTGGAGGGTGATGGCAGCACGGGCTGCCAGCAAAACTTCATGTTTACCCCTTCCCTGGTGCCGTGCTGGCAATCCAGCTCAGTAAGTGTGAGCTTCTTCAACAGCAAGCTGCTCACAAAAGGCAAAGGCAACTTTTCAGGGAGCGATAGCCAAGCACGCTGGGGACAATAAATCCACAGCAATTACTTAAATGCTCTGAAAGCCGCTTGATTCTGGATGCAACAGACAAGAGGAATTCATCAGACTAATTAAGCCTGCGGGAAGCGATACTACTTTGCCCTTGCATTCCCCAATGAGCCCTGCTACAGCCCTCACCCACGTGAGCAGCAGGGAGGGAAAATGAGCAAATCCACGAGGGAAGCTGCTGACTCCAGAGCAGGGGAAAAACATATGAACTCAAAAAGAATGAGCTGGTGAGAGAGCAGAGGCAGGAGTGGATGTGGGGCAGCACCAGGACAAGCACCCAATCTGGGGAGAGCTTCTGCCGTGCAGACTCTGGACACAGTGAGGAAGTGACTCATGAGCCAGGGGGATGAATAAAGATGTGGGCAGTCAGCACATCATCACACACATCTCCTTCTCCTCTTCCCACAGGTAAGCCAAAGGAAGGGGGAGAAGGACTAGAAACCACATGTACAAACATGCAGCTGTGAACAATGGATGAGAGGCAAGTTATCAGCTAACGCTGCTCTTCTGATAATTGCTGTTACCTCATCTCTTTGATGACTTTTTTTTGTGCACGCTCGTACCGCTCAGTTTTGTTGCGCCACTTCAAGGTGAGATTTTACAGCCTCTCAAACTTACAGCCTTACAGATCTAGTGGGCACAGTGGTGACGGATCAACGGTTGGACCAGACGATCCAAGCGGTCTCCTCCAACTTTAGTAATTCTATGAAACACACGATTTTTGAAGGAGCTTTTGCTGAATTCTTCTAGGAGAAATAAGCTACCAGAGGAGGTTCATCCCTGTTGCTAGACTTTGATACTGGTGACCCTTCACAGCAGCAATCCCCTTAAAACAGCAGTGCTGGTTCCCAAGAGCTGCCAGCCACTCACACAGCTCCTTCCAATGCCACTCCAACAACACACAGAGCTCTGCTTGCCTTACATGGTTCCCTCCTTATCACCAGTTCAGCGCCAATGCAGAGACAGATGATGCCTTACTGGCTCTCAGTACCATAAATGAAGCCACGACACCCGAAAATCTCCGGTCCCAACTCGAAAGGTGGTGCTGAGTATCTTTCATGACGCGGCGGCAGCAGACGACAGCCACCCGCGCATCCTTTTCTACATTTGAGTGAACAAAACACTTGCCACAGAGCTAGTTTCCAGATATGATTAAGCTTTTCCCTTTTAGAGGCTGTGCGTAAAGAAATGGAAAGTAAAAATAAGAGAATTACCCTTCTTGGACAATAGGAGGCATTGAATTCATCCCCAATGCGCCGCAGCTCCTGTGCAATCCATATTTCTGGTTGTATTTCTTCTGCAAGTGAGTGAGATCGCCACCTGGAAGCTGCACAGAGCAAAAAACAGAGCGTTGGAAACAGAACAACTCAGAAAGCAAATGCTCCATTAAACCTGGGAAGAATGCAACCAAGACTGGCCGTGCGATGTGCACACTGCAGGCTTGTACCAGTGTTGGCTCTGTGTTGGTATTAGGCTTTGATTTGTTATTACATCAGCAGCTTCTTCCCTAGCAAAATCCTATTTTCCCCTTTTCTAAACATAATGATTTCTCACAGGGCAAAGCAGCAGCTCCTTCTCTAACCTTAAAAAAACCTCAGTCCTGATAATTTGGTCTAATGTTCGCATTTCTTCCCCCAGCGGTGGAGGCATCCAACGAGACAAGGAGCATGGTTGTTTCTGCCGTGCTAAGAAGAAAGCCACAATTGGACAAAGTGCACTCAGAGCAAACTTTGGGACTTTTCATCCCCACCATGGGGCTGGAAGGCTCTGCTCTTCAGTATTATGTTCCAGCACTTCAGCAGAAAATAAACCAGGCGCAAGAAAATGGCACTGGCTTATAAAAGGTGAAAAAAAAAAGAGCTAAGATATCAGTTATGCTGAATGTACAGCACCAGGGCCTTCAGTCTCCATTTTAAGCTCCTGAGCACATGATAAAACCACGGTACAAGCCGCCAAATATTGGAAGGGAAATGAGCAAGCCCTGGTGCAGCACCTGTGCCCCCTCCTGCCAAGGAAAGCTCAGATTTGAGCAAGAAACACAGCCTAAAAATTGGAAAAAAAAAAGTAATAAAAAATAGAAAACGACAAAAGAAAACACCACACACACCCCCCCCTCAAAAACAAAACAAAAACCAGCACTCAAAACAAAACAGAGCATTTCACAAACTTGGCACCCAAGCTCAAAAGGACTCGCGAGGGAATACAAATAGCTTCCAATCTCTAAATACTCAAAGGATTAGTAGGGCAGTAAAAAAAAAAAAAAAATAATAAATAAAAAAATAAATAAATAAGGAGTCTGGCTCTGACCCGACTGGAAAATGCATTTCTGAGCCAAGCTGACACGGCTTGGCTCGGGGAGCTGTTTTGTTTTCACACTGTAGTAGCGCAGGAGCGGTGCCCGCCGCCTTCCCGGGACAGCCTCGTGTTATTGCTTCCCCAGTCGCTGAATGAACTGCAGCACGGGAGCAGAGCCCACGCAGGAGCCCCACGGCACCAGGCGGGACGCAGCAGGGCACGGCCCCGCAGCACAGCCCGCCCGCCGGGACGCGTGGCTGAGAGTGAAATCGGGCTGAGGTTTTCAGAAAGGACTTTCTGCGGCGCTGCCGGCTCGCAATATCAAAAGCGTCCAGTCATAATTGCAGAGAGGCAGGGGAACTCTCAGAGCATGGCCACAGTCATAGCGGGAGCCGGCCCACGCTGGGTGAGCCACGGCTGGGTGCTCTGCACATCTCTGGGCTGCGCCAACACCGGGACTGCGGCCGCCAGCGATGGGTAACTCAGGCTGCTGGGGATGGGCCACCAATTGAGGAGGTGGGGTGGTGCCTCAGCCTCGGGGACACATGAGGTCTGAGCATCTCCGCTCGCTGCGGAGCAGTTGGACCAGGTGGCCACGATGGTCCCTTCCAATTCCAACAGCTCTATGGTTTTATGATTTCTTTCTTTTCTTTTTTTTTTTTTTTTGTTCCTCCTCTAATTGTGCCAAAGTGAAGTCTGTAGCCTGAAGCCCAGGAGATGTCTGCCAAGTTTCCCTGCCCAATGTCACCCGTGGAGCAGGAGCTGCCACCTCCACCCACACCCACACCCAGCCCTGAGAAGCAGCGCCGCGTGAGGATGATGCAAAACAACACCGCCGTGCCCACACTCACAGGTAGAAACCAAACCACCCTCCAGGCTTTGTTGTAACTCAAATCCCCTTCAACACAACCACAGGTCAGGCAGGCAAAAAGGAGCACCAGCCCGCACCGCACCAACACACGCCTCAACCACTTTAAGGCTTCCTCACTGCGCCCAGAGGATTTCCCCCTTTTCCACGCTGAGACGAAACCACTCCTTTCCCCTCTGTGCCTCAGAGCTCAGTGAGGATCGGAGGACGGCACGGCCGTGCTGCTCGCACACATCCAGCCGCCTCCCCCTGCTCGCTGCCGGCCGACGGGAAACGCACACCGTGCAGAGCACAGCAACGTCCCGCAGGCACGGCGAGAGCTGACCCGCACAAGCAAACAAACCCACGGCTCTGCTCCCACCGAGAGCCAAACATCCGCCAGAGATTCCTGGGGCAGCAGCAGACAGCTGGCTGCGGGGCTCGGGTGACATTCTTCGGGCACTCCCACGGCGGGCCGCCTCCAGGCACGGCACGGCTCTGCTCTCCGTGCCCGGGGCAGAGCGGCGGGCGCCGTCCGGGCGGTGCCACGCGAGCGGCTCGTTGTGAAACTCGCAGCGAGCCGTAAGGACGGCAGTAAGGTCAGAAAACCTTTCCTAAGGGCACGTTACAGTCAGCGCTGCAGCTGTAACCACAGACCTTCACCACGAGGGAAAAAAAAAAAAAAAAGCAAAGCAAAGCAAACGGCACCGCGCGGCCAGAGCGCCCGGCCGGCCGCCATCCCCGAGCGCTACCTGCCAGCCGCCGCCCCGCCCGGCACTCACCCATGGCGCTCAGGTAGTGGCTGACGGCCTGGCACGGCGGGCTGGGGGTCTGCGTGGCCTTATCGCAGCTCATGGGCGCGGGGCTGCGCTCGGCCTCGAAGGAGAAGTAGCCGCTGGAGGAGCGCGGCAGCAGCGGGGACCTCCGCACGAAGAAGAAGAGCGGCGAGCGGATGGCGAACGGGCCGGGGCTGCCGGGCGAGGCGGGCCGGGCGGCGCCGGGCAGCGCGGCGGGGGCTCCGGGCCGCAGCGGGACGGCCGGGCCCGGCCCCTCTCCCGGCGGCAGCCGCCCGGCCCGGCGGTCGCGGGGCGCCTTCGCCTCGGGGGGCTGCTTGGCCATGGGCTGCGCCTGCGGGCGGAGCGGAGCGCTGAGCGGCGGGAGCCGGCCCTACCCGCCCCTTCCTCCTCCTCCTCCTCCTCCTCCCGCCGCCGCTCCCCGCCCGGCCCCATTGTTCTGCCCGCGGCCCCGCGCCGCCCGCCCCGCGCCCCTCTCCCTCCCACCGTCCCCCGCCCTCCCTCCCGGTCCGCTCACGGTGCCGCCGGCGGAGTCGCGGGGGCGAGAAGGGGGGAGCGGGGGAGCGGGCGGGCGGCGGCAGGCTGCTGCCGGCGGCCCTGTGCGCGGCGCCCGCAGCCTCCGCCTCCTCGCGCGGCCCCGCCCCGCCCCGTGTTTACCACCGCGCGGACCGCCCCGCCGCGCCCCGCCCCGCTCACCTCCGCTGCCCTCCGCCGGGAGCGCGCGCGGCCCCGCTGCCGCCGTACGCACGTGCGGGCACGCGCCTTCGGGTGCGCGCGCACCGCTGTACGGCCGTGCCGCGCGCGGGGATGTGTGCGCGCACACAGCGTTACATCACTCACAGCCCGGGCACGGGGGTGGGAAAGACCGCTGCGATCATCCCGCTGTGCACAGCACAGCACAGCGTGCCCGCTGCCCACGTCCCTCAGTGCCACATCCCACCGCTCTGGGACTCCTTCCGGTGGCCCCACCGCTCCCTGGGCAGCTGTGTCAGTGCAGAATCACTTCTGGAGAAGGAATTGTTCCTAGCAGCCAACCCGAACCTCCCCTGGCACAACGTGAGGCCATCCCCTCTCGTCCTATGGCCGTTCCCTGCCAGCAGAGGCCGACCCCGCCTCACACAGCCTCCTTTCAGGTGGTTGCAGAGCCATAGGTCTGCCCTGAGCCTCCTCTTCTCCAGACCGAACAGCCCCGGTTCCTCAGCCGCTCCCCATCACACTTGTGCTCCAGACCCCTCACAGCCCCGCTGCCCTTCTCTGGACACGCTGCAGCCCTCGGTGTCTTTCCTGCAGTGAGGGCCCAGCGCTGAGCGCAGCACTGCAGGTGCGGCCTCACCAGTGGCAGTGCGGGGGGCCGCTCACCTCCTGCTGCTGCCACACGCCGGGGTGCCGTTGGCCTTCTTGGCCACCTGGGCACACTGCTGGCTCACGTTCAGCCGGCTGTCAGCTAACGGCCCCGCAGCCTTTACCTCTGCACAGCTTGCCAGCCACTGCCCCAAGGCTGCAGCGCTGCGTGGGGCTGCTGTGGCCAAAGCACAGCACCCGGCGCTTGGGCTTGGTGAACTTCCTCTCATTGCCCTCCAGGCTGTCCAGATCCCTCTGTAAGGTCTTCTGTTCTCAGGCAGATCAACATTTCCCTCCAACTTGAAGTCATCTACACACTTACTGAGTGTGCGCTCAATCCCCTCATCCAGATCATCTATAAAGGCATTAAACAGGGTTAACCCCAGTGCCAACCCCTGGGGAACACCACTCATGACCAGCTGCCAGCAGGATGCGACTCCATTCATCACCACGCTCCAAGCCTGGCCATCAGAATACACCCGTCCAAGTCACAGGTTGCAGCTCCTGCAGGAGATTAATGTGGAAGACAGAGGCGAAGGCTTCGCTAAAGTCCAGATAGACTGCATCAGCAGCAGTTTCCCTCATCCTTTCCCTCATTCACCAGGTGGGTCACCACACACACACCATTGCGCCCACTGGGATGGAACTGGGCTGCTCGCTGTGGCTCACACTGGGACTGGAGGGTGAAGGGATCGGCAGTGGTTCCAAGCAGCACTGGAACATAAGGCGCTGACCCCTCCACCCCTCAGGGGGCCAAAGTTTCCAGTCCCGAAAGACAAGGGGAAAAACCCTTGGGGAAATTAACTGGGGAAGGGCGTTAGGGAAAAGCACAGCCGGCAGCGCCGCGCAAGGTCCGGGCTGGGAAGGGAGCGGCTGTGGCAGCACGGCGACACTCAGCTTCTGCTATTTTCTCCCCACAGATCACTTTGGTTTCTGTGTGGGTGGCTCACGCGCGCAGAGGTTCGAGGGTAAACGTCTCACAAGAACAGGATGTCCTTTGCACCCAGACCGTATCTTGGTGCGTTTTGGGGGTCAGCAAGTGTCCACACCCCAGCATTCTCTCCAGGACTGCCCTCTCTCTCACACGCCGCAGCCCCCTGAAGCCCAACAGCCGTATGGATGGAACCCACCTCAACTGATGAGCAGAAGGCTGTGGGATAAGCACAGCCCTGCAAGCACCTCCACATCGGTGATGGCACTGCTGGCTGATGGAATGGGCTGCAATGGGCTTCATTCTGCTCCATACTGGAATGGAAAAAGACGACTTCTGCTTCTCCAGCCCATTGTGATAAATGGCATTTCACACAAAGCCAGCAGATGTAATCAGTTTAAGCCAGATGCCTGAAGTTCGAGCCTTTATCTGAATCGGTTTCAGAGCCTGACCTTTTTGGGGCACGCTTTGTGCAAAACGCTGCCATTTTTCAGCCCTCCAGACATACACAGACAAAGCTGCTTGTGAATCATCTGAGGAGCCCCAGAGGTGGCAGGGGGTGAGGGAAAAAGAGGGAGATTCTTAGCTGGGAGAAGGAGGAAGAGGTGTGCTGCTCAGGCTGCAGCCACCCTGTGCCCAGCAGCAGCAAGACACAGACATGGGGATAGCAGTGGGACACACAGGGCATGGGAAGCTGCTCCTGAAATAAGCCCCAAGGGCTGAGGATGTGCATGGTGTGGGACGGCAGTGCAAACCCCAAGCAGCCGTGCACTCGCAGCGGGGCAGGCTGGCAGCACCACAGGTGACATTAGAGCAGTCTCCCTATGGGATTTTCTGCTACATTACCATGCTCCCATCTCATCAGGAAGGTGCCTACAGCTTCTGTCTTTGTAATTTATTTCTTCTCTCAGTGCAATTGAGAAATCTGGTGTTTGACACGCCATGGGAGGGAATGTTGCTGGCACCAAGCAGGTGCATGGTGACAGGTGGCCACCAAAGGACGTGGTACAAACACATGCCAGCCCCCCCGGGGGCCCTGCCTCACTGTGGGCACCATGGCACTGAGCAAAAACTGAGCAAAGTTGGGTTTTCCGTAGAAGAAAGAGCAAGCCACCCACGCGCCAGGAAATCTCTCCTCTGGGTGTGGGTGGTGGGGGCCCCAAGATGAGCTATCTCTAAAGGGCAACTCTGGGGATACCTAGAGATCGGCATCGGTGTGGATCTGGCGCGCACAGGAGGAAACATCAGCCTCAGCAGCTGGGGGTTGGGTTGGGCTTTTTTGCTTTTTTCTTTTTTTTTCCCCTCAAAGCTCTTTTTTAGTAGCTTGTTTTCAAGGCGGTTAGAAAACAGGAGCTCCCCCCCCCCATCACTGTGCTCACAGAGCCTGGGATGCTTTTACCCTTTTCAATGGGAAATGCCATGGGTAGCAGCAGCCCAGGCCCAGCCCTGCACAGCGTGGGCAGCACCCCCAGCTGTCCCCAGCAGCTGTGCACCCCTCAGCCCCTCACCGCCCTACAGCCGTTGGAATCCAGGAGCCTAGGATGGGGAAATCACAGCCAGCGCCTCCCCGCAGCTGAAAGCCAGGGCAGATTGCAGCTCGCCTCTAGCGGCTGTAGAGAACAATGTGAAACTCCTACACCCACACAAGCAGACAGAGGCTCTGGCACCACAGGCACGGCCCTGACATTTGGGTTCTGGAGGCTTGGGTGCAGCTGCTGTGGCCACACCTGTGCTCTCTTGGGAGGGAACACACATGGGTCAGGCACCTGAACTCCCCAGCCGTGCCATTAGCATGTGAAGGTGGGAAGACAGTAGTGAACGTGGTTGGGTAAATTTGGGTATCCCCGAGTCCTACTCACACTCGGGAGCACTGTAGGTTGCGCTACGAGCTGACGTATGAAATGAAATGATCTCCTGCAGCTGGTGGAGATCTGTGCCTGGCCGGGGAACAGCTGGCTCCAGCTCTGCACGTAAGAAAACTCAACCAAGGAGGAGGAAAAAAATCCCCAGTGCCGGGTGTTTATGTTTCACCCTGCTCCAGCTGATGCGCTCCAGCTGACGGAGCCAGCCGGCTGTTTGGGATCAAACCCGGAGGCTTTCCCCACACCACGCCAGGGAGAGTGGGACCGGCGGGCAGAGCGCAGCAGGGGCCAGGGAGCGTGCCAGCAGTATGCAGCAGGGCTGGGTGCTCTGAGAGAGCAGCGCATTGCACGTGGCACAGAGCCGCGGGGCTCTCCAGAGCTGGGAGAGGAAGATAAACAAGGAGAGAATTACCAAAAATGACACATGTGCTGTGGCCAATGCCCCTCCCGCCGACACAGGCTTTCCTACAGTGCAATTTGATTTATCAAAACAACAGGACGAGCATTTCTCAGTACCTCTACAAGTAAAAGCAGCCTGCAATTTCAGCTCGCTGCGCCGCTGCCTTTCCCACTGCAGTCGTGGCCAAAACAATGTCTCAGAATAGCAAGCCCTACAAAAAACAAACTCTACCTCCCCATTTGTGGCAAGTCTCAGCTCGTGAGCTGACTATCCCTGCCCTCTTCTCAGCATCCAGGTGATGTGTTGGGCAGCCCGTGCTCAGTATCCAACCACGGGATGCTTTCCAAGTTCAACAACTTGAGGAGAACGTCTACTGAAAAAAAAACCCAACAACCCAACAAAGTACCCCTTAAATACAGAAACAGGGAAATTTATGAAAATCTGTTGTTTGTCTCCCTCCTGTGGAGGGATGCACTACATAAATAACACCCCCACCGTACCTGGGGTTAATCCTGCACCTCTCCAAAATAGCTGAGGAAGTGGTGTTTCCAGGCTGCTCTGCTGGGGCTGCCAGGAGGAAAGCTGGGCGAGTGCCCAAGCGGAGCTCCGACCTGCACCTCACCTACTGCTGGATGCTCCCAGAGGGCAGGATCAGGCTCATGGAAAACAGAAAGAGCTCTGAAAAAAACTTGGGGCAGCTGTACCCTTAGCACTTCTGCTGGAGGAAGGTCCCTTTAAAAAGTAATCTTAGGGAAGAGGAAGGAATGGGAAAATTACTGGTGAGACTTCTC